TAAAATGATAGAGTAGCGAGTTTCAAGGGAGGAAACATCTCGAGCCCTAACCCATAAAATGAGAGTTCCTTTCCCGCCAAAGTAGAGGATGTAGAAACTGGCGATGAAGGTGAAGAAGCATGTGAAGACATGATGCTATTTTATACGTGAAAATTTGAAAAATCTGGTTTATGTATCCTGTTAAGTAAAGCTAGGTAATGCAATGCCGAAAAGTGAAAATTTTTATCGTATCTGTTTTTGGGTGATCGGTGTCTTTATATTTATGTGAGAAGTTACACGAACTGATCAGGAGATAAGATGCACGATGATACCGCTGAAATCACGCCTAACGCGTCGTTGTTTTATTATGTGTCTTTGACAACTAGCTCTGCTATTACGAAACAAAAAATCATTGCCCGTTATAAGGCAGATACAAAAAATAAATTTGCGAATATACATCGCTACATAATGAAAAAAATCTAATTTCCCCCTTTTGCTTAGGTGCTACAACAACATGAATTCTATCTGAAGTACGCGTCTCTAAATAATCAGAAACTATATCATTAAATTAACAGGATGTGGACTATCCCTATAGAGTTTGAATTGGGTGGTATCAACACGCTTCGCAATTTCTTTTTTGACCTTACTAATTCTGTCCCATTTAAAAGCAGTAATTGAAAAATTATTGCCACCAGTATTGACGTCAATAAATTCATTGCTAGTGGTAAGGACATCGAGAAATATAGTATTATCGATTTCTCTTTCTGTTGCCATTTTTCGTTTCCTAAAGATAAAAAACTCATAGTAAGTGGAATTTCGCTTTCATAGGTATATACCATAAACAATCATACCTTTAAAAATCTGTGGGAAGGTAAGAAATAAAGTCTCACTAAAACCTACTTATTTATATTATTTTCGCTTGATCTGAAACTTACTAAAAAATAAATCAAACTTTATCGAGCGAATCTCCGAATCCTAGTAATGACAAAATTGACTGTTACCGAAATCATAATTAAACCTGTTACGATTCAGCCTCCATAGAAATATTACCATACACAATCAACGCCAATATGTGGAGCAATGAGTCATATATGTATGAATGAAATCCCTTTTGGTTCCTGTAAGACGAAGTTGGTTAATCGCAACGACGATCCGGAATTGCGAAGATCTCGAACCCCTATGACTCATAATTTCTGATAACGGTACTGATAGGAGTCAACGGGCTCTTTGCCCTTATTACCTTTTCGAGGTTCGTTTTCGCTCGCCCTTATCGTAAAAGCATGTGTAATGCTAGAGGTATTTTCCAGCCTAAACGAAAAAAAAAATAACGATTATCGCGTGTTCCACTAACTTCTATGTCGATCATACCCGTGATGTGATTGGTTGATAAATTTCTGACCGTTAACGGTTTTTTAATTATTCTGATTGGATGGATCACTACTCTGGAATGCGGACACAGTTGACACGTTTATTTTTACGATGTTTTCGGATAGGAGAGACAAACTTTTTCTTTGTAATATGGACGCGTTTCTTTCGGGGTTTTATGATTTTCCGAATCACTATTGGATCAGGTTCATATTCTGAATCGGAACAGGATGAACTGGTCTCTGTCTCAGAATCGGATGAATCAGAAGTATTTGAACTTGAGTTATTATAAAAGTCACTAATAATACCCCTGCTAACAAATATTATTACTCTCCCCCCCCCCCCCTTTCTTCTCAGTTAGGTTTTTAATACGCAATGTAGTTCTTACCAAGGCATCTTCTATGTACAATTTCAGAAATATAAGTCTGGAGCTCATCATCGTACTTGCGATCATAGAACCAATTATTATCAAGCAAGATATAGTTGGATAATGTAGGGCTATATTTTTCAACCAGTACTTCAGTTGGAATCATGATAGATTTTTTGTTACTAAGTCGAGCATTATTTTTTATATTAGATGTGAATGTAAGTGGAATTATGACCCATCCAATCGGATGTGTAGTCATCTCTGAAGAATTTATTATCTTTATCTTCAGAAGTCAACTTTCTGCTAATTTTGTCACCAATTTTCCTGAGAAGCTTATTAGTACATATTGATGATCCAAGAAACCCTGAATTAAGATGGCAATTAACTTTTTGAATCCCTACTAAAGATGGTAGCCACAATTACTATGTTACAATACTTATGTTGCAACTATATGTTGTAATTTATTAAAAAATTTAATAAAAATCACAACTTGCCATAACTTATCACAAGTCACAACTTATCGCAACTTGCTGCAACTTGCTATAACTTGCCATAACTTACTGTAACTTATCATAACTTATTATAACTTATCATAGCTTACTATAACTTATTATAATTTATTATAATAATATTTTAAAGAATATATTTACAAATTTTCAGATTTTTAAATACAGTACTCATCAGAAGTAACCTATCTCCCATAACTTGGCTAAAAGGTAAGATAAAATCTTTTTTTTTTATTAGAATATTTACAATATATCCTGATCATTAATACATTATATAATCCCTCTTAGCTTTAATTAACTTCTCAACCTGACTTCTCATGCTATGGATAAGATTTGTAATAAGATCATCAGGTAAGCGATTTCATTCTTTTACTAATTGTACTTTTAATCTAATAAGTGTTCTAATTTTTTTTTTTGCAATATTAATTTTCATCAACCTTCAAACATTCTCAATCAGATTTTGATTAGATAACATTGACAGCCATGAAAGAACTTTGATGTTATTTTCCTTTTTCCAATAACTCACCAATTTCAAATGGTATTTTGGGTCATTATCCTCTTGCAAGATTTACCCTTCAGAATCATCCCCAAAAAGATACTTAACAGATGATAAAAGATCATGCTTGTATACCATAACTATAAAATTAGCATTGAGATTCTGCTGAAAGTAGACTAACTCACCAAAGCCCAAAGTAGAAAAACAACTCCATACATTGATTTTTAATAGATGCTTTACAGACCAGAATATTTTTCTTCATTTAGAAAACTGCCAGACCTTAAATGATGACTGGTTTAGACAAAATATACTTTCATCTGAAAATATGACTTTACTCCAGTCAAAATTTCTATAATTTTTTATTCATTCCAATCATTTTTCTTTATGAACATTGGTAAGTAGAGGTTTGAAAAGTTTTGCTATGTATTTGCCTTCACCTTCATGTAAATATCATTGAATTATATTCAAACTAACATTAATATTTTGTTTTTTCATTTCCTGTTATATATCAATAATGGTTGCATTAGTTTACTTCTGTGCAAGCTCTATAATCTTTTCATCTTGCTTTGGAATTATCGATCAATTTCTGTCAGATTTTGATTGATCATTTAGGTTCTTTGTTTCTTGTCATCTTTGTACCCAATAAACCACTGTGAGCTTACTACAGTGAACATATTTAGCTATAGCTTTAAGCCCAAGCTTTAAACCTTTGGAGTGTGTATGTAAAAAAATAATTTCATAACATTTATGAATTGGAAGCGATATTATTTGTGTATAGAAGTTTGGTAAATATTGAATACCCAATTTGGTTTATAAAAGGTGTAAATAATCAGTATTTATGTAGTTCTTTGTATTTGGAAAATTTTGGTACATTATACATGATCTACAGAAAGTTATAGGGAGTAGGTTATTTTTAATGAGCATTATAATTTTTTATCAAAATATAAGCAAAAAATATATTTATTATTATTTTTTTTAGAAATTATACTTAAATAAAATATCTCTTTAAATTAAAGATAGATAACTTAATTATTTATTTAAGTTATAATAGTTGCAGTTTTTGTTAGTAGTTGCAACATATGTATCATAATTAGTCA